TCTCCCAGTCCAGTGCAATAGAACTTTCCAACCAACCATCCAGGTTGTCTTGGGCTGGAAATGTGTTTCACTCTGTCTTTTTGTGGGTTCTACTGCTCTAGAATTTGTTTAGAGCCATTTTTTACAGGTATTTGGAGGGGTTTGGGGGAGCACTCAAGCAAGTCACTGCTTTTACTTCCCCATCTTAGCTCTGCCCCCAACTATCCATATTTGTTGCAAGGATTCTCCCTCCCTCCTTCCCTCTCTTCCTTCCTTCCTTCCTTCCTTCCTTCCTTCCTTCCTTCCTTCCTTTCTTTCTTTCTTCCTTCCTTCCTTCCTTCCATCCTTTTTCTTTCTTCTTGAAAATAGATTTCTAAGTAAGTATTTTGACCTGGCCAACACTAACCAGCAGAGGGCAGGTCTGTTTCATTTTTTGTTTATAAAAGGCCTTTTGAATTGGTTGTTTGGATATCCAAACAATAACAACATTAACAACAACCAAGACAAGCCATGTTTACAGAGTGTCTACATTGTGCTTTGTATAACCCTTACTAAGGGCAGGGATTGTTGATGTAATGGTTAATTAAGGCTATGGAACACTCATTAAAAGACATAGCCCATGCATCTTAATTACAATAATGTGCTATTAATTAGTTCTATGGATCACACAGTAATGAGGCGCTTTACAGTTGGAACAAAGAAACAGCTGATCAATCATGTTCACAATATAGTTCTGTTTCCAGGAAATGCTGTGTGATATGGCAGGGGTAGGAGCCAAGGCAGGGGATGCCTTTCTGTGGGATCCTTTGAGCATTGTAAGGCAAAGAACCACAAATTCTTCAATAAGACTTTGGAAAACCTTCATTTAATGAACTTTTGTCTAAGTCATTGTCATTCTGCAAATAGGTGAATTGGATTGTAGTTCTGGTTCGTCTGCTGCTTTGCTGCATGACTTTAAGCAAGTCACTTACTCTCTCTGGGCTTTACTTTTGTTACATGTAAAATAATGGGAATGGACTAGGTAAGTCCTAAGCTCCATCTCTTCCATTTGTGATATTTCATTGTTTGGGTGTTCAGATATTTATCCATTAAAAGCATATGTAGTTGGATGCCTTCTTGAACAGCTCATTTTGATTTTCCTTAACATACTAAAAACCTTATTTATTTAGGGGGAAGTCTACCTAATTTGACAGTGTGCTTGCTTGTACTTTATGGTGAACACCATTGGAAAAGTCCTGGAGTGGAATGATAGAAGAAAGTCAATGCAAACAGTTTTCAACCACAGTGGCTCCTGTCCATCACTGCCAAGATGGGGGCTTAGAGCTGTGTCACATGGCTACACTTAGCCATTCACATTAAATCAAGTTGCATCTCCTGTGACCAACAACAGTATTTGTGAGACAGATGAATGGAGTCAGGGCCTAGTGCATGTGTGAGACTTAGAGCACAATTGGTGGCTGGCCAGTAGGACTCAGGCTATGGCCAGTCCAGTTTAAGGAACTGTTGCTTTCAAGTTAAAAGGTGTTATAACTCAATTCAACAAGCATTTATCAAGTTACTACCGTGAGTTAAACACTCTAGTAGTTGCTGACGTCACAAAGACAAAAATGAAACAATCTCAGCCTTCCAGGAGCTTACTCTTGGTCAATGCGAACATAATGTGTACACAAGGAAATAAATACAAACTAAGACCAAGTAACTTCAAGAAGGAGAGAAGGCTAATAACTAGGAAAAATCAGGAGGAGCCTTATGTAGGAGGAGACCCCTGAGCTGTGCTTTCTGGGAAGCTAGGGATTCTCTGAGGTGGAAGCAAAGGAAAGAATATATTCCAGACATGGGGAACCGCTTGTGCAGAGGGACAAAGGTGAGAAGTTGTGGGAGACAGCTAGGAGGCCCAGCTAACTGTAATGGGGAGTACATTAAGGGATTAATATGAAATAAGACTGAAAAGAAAGCTAGGAGTTGACTTGTGGAGGGCTTTAAGGATGATGATTTTGTCTTTTATCTCCTAGGAGGACAATAGATAGCCATGGTGTGTACATGTGTGTTGTGTGTATGTGTGTGTATGTGTGTGTGTCTGTGTGTCTGTGTGTGTGTCTGTGTGTCTGTGTGTAACAGAGAGATAGAGATAGAGAGAAAGACAGAGAGTCAGCTTTATATTTAGGAATATGAATTTGGCTGCCACATGGAGCATTGATTGGAGAAGGAAGAGACACAAGCAGAAAGACCAATTATGAAGGTATTAGAATACCTGAGGTATGCATTTGGAAAGAAAGGGATATCTATGAGAAATGTTGTGGAGGTAGAATTAACAAGACTTGAAATCCCAGTTGGATATAGTGGTAGCAATAGAGATAAAGGTCAAGGATGAATTCAAGATTGACAACCTGGGTTTTTGGAAGGATGATGATGCCCTCAATGGAAATACAGAAGTTAATAGGAGGAATGAGTTTTTTTGGGAGAATAGAATGTGTTTGAAATGCCTATCCAGGGACAACGTGGCAGAGACATCCAGCAGGCAGCGATGAGATATTGAGGGGTTGGAATTCAAAAGAAAAATTAGGGCTAGATATATAGATTTGGGAATCTATCTAGTTTATATAGAGGTGATGATTGAATCCATAGGAGCTGATATCACCAAAGGAGGATACTCGCATGTAGCAAGCAAGAGGATTATAATGATCTAGCAAAAAAGACTGAAAAGGAAAGGTTGGATAGGTAGGAGAACCAAGAGGAAGGCGGAAAGACAAGGAAGGATAAAGTATCCAAAAGGAGGGATGATTAATAGTGTCAAAAGCTGCAGAAAGATCAAGGAGGATATGACTAAGAAAAGACCATAGAGTTTCTCATCAAATAGGAGAGTAAGAAGCCAGATTGCAAGGGATTAGGAAATGAGTGGGAGACAAGAAAATAGAGGCACCTGAGTTTAGATAACTCTAGAAGTTAGTCTGGGAAGGGGAGAAGAAATACAGTATGATAACTCATAACAATAACTAGCATTTATATAGTACTTTAAGTTTTGCAAAGCACTTTCCATATATTAACTCATTTAACTCTCACAACAACCCTGTGAGGTAAGTGCTATTATTATTCCCATTTTACAGATGGGGAAATTTAGGCACAAAGAGGTTAAGTAATCTACACAGAGTTATACAGCTAGCAAATGCCTGAGTCAGGATTTCAGCTTGTCTGTTCCTGACTCCAAATCCACTGATCCACCTAACTGCTCCTATCTAGCTTGAGGGAATGGCAGTGTCATTGATTTTAAGAATCAAGTAATTACAAGCTGGTTTTTCAAATCTGGGCTGGGCTTTAACAACAACAACAACAACAACAACAACAACAACAACAGAAAGCCTAGAACAGGCAGTTTAATAGAAATGGATTTGGAGTCAGAATTTGAATCACTTTGGCTTTCTGGGTTTCAATTTCTTCACCTATAAAATAAGGGGGCGGTTAATTGGTTTTGAAGACCATTTATCCTACGTCCATTTCCTCTTCACAGATCTCACATAAATTTAGACTTGGAAGGGGCATCAGAGGTTATCTAGTCCAACCATCTTATTTTACAGATGAGAAAACTGACATCCTCTTTGGACGTCAGTTTGGAATCCCCAGTAGGCCTGGGATTCTGAGCCCAGGTCCTCTCACTCCAGAAACAGTGCTTTTTCAACTACAAACTGGTATTCATATTCCATGTTTTCTAGTCCTTTCATCATCTCATTGTTCTTTTTCTGTCTGAGGTACCACCATTCTTCTAGCCATCTACCTTTAAAACCTTGGAGTTCTCTATTTCCAATCAGTTGCCAAAGCTTGTCAAGTCAACCTTCCCACATATCTTACATTTCTGCCTTCCTCTCCATTCACATGCCTACCATCTTTGTTCAGGCTTTCAGCATCTCCAGCCTAGATTATTGGAATAGTCTATGATTTAATTTCTTTGCTTCTGATCTTTCATTTCTTTCTTTTTTTTTCTTTGGCTAGGCAATGGGGTTAAGTGACTTGCCCAGGGTCACACAGCTAGTAAGTGTTATGTGTCTGAGGCCGGATTTGAACTCAGGTCCTCCTGAATCCAGGACTGGTGCTCTATCCACTGTGCCACCTAGCTGCCCCTGGTCTTTCATTTCTTAAACTCATGCCCTATACAGCTGTCTACATTCTCTTCCTAAAGTATAAATGTGACCATATCACTGTGCTACTCAAAAATCACTATTAGTTCCTTATCTCTAGAATAAAATATAAATTCAGCTAGATATTTAAAATCTTTCAAAATCTGGTTTCAATCCTTCTATCCAGATGTATTTCCCATTATTTCCTTTCACACACTCTACATTCCAGCCAAGGTGGTCTAATTGTTTCTAAAACATAGCATTCTATCTCTCACCTCTGTGTTTTGACACCTGTTCTTGGAATGCACTCCTCATCTCCATGTCTTAGAATCATTAGCTTCCTTTAAGGATTAACTCATTAATATCACCTCCTTCAGGAAGTCTTTCCTGATCTCTCTAGTTGTTAACTCTCTCTTCCTCCTCAAATTACCTTAAATTCACTTACTAATCTGTTTGCATGTTCTATTCCCCAGTAAAATATAAACTCTCTGAGGGCAGGGTCTATTTTTCATTTTTGTTTTTGGGTACCTATCACCTAGTCCAGCACCTTGTACATAGTAGGCAATTAATGTTTGTGGAATTGAGTTTAGATCTATTTCTTTCCCATCCTCTCCTCTTTTTTTTCCCATTGACCTTTTCATCTCCTCTCATTCCCTTCCCACCTTTCCCTTTCTGCTCTTTTCTTATCTTATAGATGAATGCATATATGTGTTAATATTTTTCAGTGGATAAAGGTGGGTGGGTGGTATGTGCATGCACATGTGTGTGTGTGTGTGTGTGTGTGTGTGTGTGTGCGTGCTGGGGAGTCACCATTCTCATTCCTTTGTCCCTCTCCTTTTTCCTCATTCAGAGTTTGTATTTCCAGATACTCTGGCCCCCACACTCCCTATCCATGCCAGTTGTGTCACTTACTGGATCTTTGGTTTTTTATGAAGAACAACTTGAGTCTCTCTTTGAAGGTGTTCTCATTGACATAGAACTCTACTTGTACCCTGCAGGAAAAAAAAAAAACAAGAGAAAAAGAAGCTTTAGGGCCTGGCTTGTGCCTTGGAGTCTCATTGTCATTTATAAAATGAGGAGGGATAGTTAGACTCTATGATCTCTTATGGTCCCTTCTAACTCTATCACTTTATGTTCTATAAATTTAGTAGATATCCTCATGGGAGAAATGGTAATATCTCAGCTAACGCCAGTTTATTTCCGAACCATGGTCCCATTTTTCCAGGATATACTTGATAAACAAGCCTTAGAGGAAACCAACAAAACATACTAGATTAATTTATCTCCACAATCTCTTCCCTATCACCAGGATCTTGAAACAGGAGAATCCATTAAGAGGCCACTCTAGGGTCACACTAAATGCCAACTTTTCTCTAAGGAGAGAATATTCACTATTGTACTGGCTGTTATTTGGGGTGGGGGTGAGATTGAAAGTGGAAGTAGGGGATGCATATGTGTGTGTGTGGAGGAGGGGAGATATTTTTTCATGGAAAAGGCTCACTCTGCTTTGGAGGGAAAAATAAGAGGGTGAATGTCCTGCCCTTGCAGGAGACATTCGTCTGAAACCTCTTGAACTTTAACTATCTGCCTGCCATTTTGCACTCAATCCTGTAAGCAGATATAAAAGTCAGTTGAAAAAAGGCACTCAACCTTGTGAAAAAGAGATAGAAAATGCTTCAGGGAAGTCACTGTCAACACAGGACTAGCACCCCCTGTATCAGCTACTCCTAGCCCCTTGGTTGTGCCTAACTTTGAAGAACCAGTGGCCAAGAAATAAAATCCTCATGGGTTCTTCCTTACCCTACAACTATAATTGGGAGACACTAATTGATTATAGAGGTAAATGCCATCTCACTCACCCTCAATAATGACAAACTCTGGAAGCTCACTCTCTGCCTCAATTTAATTTTTTTAAAATAGTATTTTATTATTTTCCCAATTACATGTCAAGACAATTTTTAGCATTCATTTTTACAAGATTTGAGTTCCAAATTATTCACTCTCCCTCCCTCCCTCCCTCCTCTCCCCTCTTCTGAAAATGGTAGGCAATCTGATATAGATTATACATGTGCTATTATGTAAAACATATTTCCATATTAGTCATAGTTGTGAAAGAAGAAACATATCAAAAGGAAAAAAACCATAAAAAAGAATAAAGTCAAAAAATATGTTTTGATCAGCATTCAGAGTCCATCAGTTCTTTATCTGGATGTGGATAGCATTTTTCTTCATGAGTCCTTTGTACTTGTCTTGTATCACTATGTTGCTGAGAAGAGCTGAGTCATTCATAGTCAATCATCACACTATGTTGCTGATACTGTGTACAATGTTTTCCTGGTTCTGCTCATTTCACTTTGCATCAGTTCATGCAAGTCTATCCATGTTTTTCTGAAATCTGCTTGTTCATCATTTCTTATTGCACAATAATATTCCATTACATTCATATACCACAGCTTGTTCAGCCATTCCTTAATTGATGGGCATACCCTCAATTTCCAATATTTTGCTACCATGAAAAGGGCTGCTATATTTTTGCACATGTAGGCACTTTATCCTTTTTAATGATCTCTTTGGGATACAGACCTAGTAGTGGTATTGGTGATTCAAAGATTATGCACAGTTTTTTTTAACCCTTTTAAAAAAATTTTTAGGCAATTGGAGTTAAGTGACTTGCCCAGGGTCACACAGCTAGTAATTGTCAAGTCTTTGGTCTGAGGCCGGATTTGAACTTAGGTCCTCCTGACTTCAGGGCCAGTGTTCCATACATTGCACCACCTAGCTGCCCTGAGTATGCACAGTTCAATAGCCCTTTGGGCATGGTTCCAAATTGCTCTCCAGAATGGTTGGATCAGTTCACAACTCCACCATTAGTGCATTAGTGATAAATGAATACATTAGTGTCCCAATTTTCCCACATCCTCTCTAACATTTATCATTTTCCTTTTTTGTCATATTAGCCAATCTAATAGGTGTGAGATGGTACCTCAGAGTTGTTTTAATTTTCATTTGTCTGATCAAAAGTGGTTTGGAGCACTTCTTCATATCTCTATAGATAGCTTTGATTTCTTTATCTGTAAACTGCCTGTTCATGTACTTTGACTATTTATCAATTAGGGAATGGCTTGTATTCTTATAGATTTGACTCAGTTTTCTATATATTTGAGAAATGAGACCTTTATCAGAGATATTTGCTATAAAGATTGTTTCCCAGCTTTCTGCTTTCCTTCTATTCTTGGTTTAATTGGTTTTGTTTGTACAAAAGCTTTTTATTTTAATATAATAAAAATTAACTATTTTACATTTCATAATGCTTATAACTCACTTGGCTTCTCTTTTAAGAATTTGCATGCTATACTGCTTGGTGCATATATGTTTAATATTGATATTGTTTCATTATCTATGGTACCTTTCTTTATCTCTTTTAATTAGGTCTAGTTTTACTTTTACTTTGTCTGAGATCAGGATTGCTACCCCTGCTTTTTTTTTTTTACATCAGTTGAAGCACAATACAGTCTGCTCCAGCCCCTTACCTTTGTTCTGTGCACATCTCTCTGCTTCAAGTGTGTTTCTTGTAAACAACATATTGTTGGATTCTGGTTTTTGATTCACTCTGCTATCTGCTTCCATTTTATGGGAGAGTTCATCCCATTCACATTCACAGTTATGATTACTGTGTATTTCCCTCCATTCTATTTTTTGTCCTCTCTCTCCTTTCACCCTTTCCCTCTTTGACAGTGTTTTGCTTCTGTCTACCACCACCCCCGATCTGCCCTCCCTTCTGTCAGTCCCCCATCCTCACTCTTTACTTAATCTCTTCCCCTCCTACTTCCCTGTCAGGTAAGATAGATTTTTATATTCAACTGTTTCTATATATTACTCTCTCTTTGAGCTAATACTGATGAGAGTAAGGTTCAAGCAATGCCCATTGCCCACCCTCCCATCTTTCCCTCCACTGTAATAGGTTTTTCATGCCTCTTCATGTGAAATAATTTACCCTAATTTACCTCTCCCTTCCTTCCATACCCAGTGTATTCCTCTTTCTCATACCTTAATTAATTTTTTATGTCATTCACTCACATTCACCTTATAACCGTACCTTCTGACTGTGTATATTCCTTCTAGCTGTACTAATGGTGTTACAATTTTTAGGAATGACAAATATCATCTTCCCATGTAGGGTTATAAACAGTTTAGTTCTATTGAATCCCTCATATTTCCCCCCCTTTTTAATCTGTTTATGCTTCTCTTGGGTATTGATATTGGAGATCAAATTTTTGGTTTAATTCTGATCTTCTCATTATGAAAGCTTGAAATTCTTCTATTTCATTGAATAACCATTTCCCCCCTTAATGTAGTATGCTTAATTTTGCCAGGTAAGTGATTTTTGGTTGTTGTCCTAGTTCCTTTGCCTTCCAGAATATCATGTTCCATGATCTCTGATCCTTTAACATTGCAGCTGCTCAGTTCCCTGTAATCCTGATTGTGGCTCCCGAAATATGAATTGTCTCTTTCTGAACACTTGCAGTATTTTTTCCTTGACCTGATAATTCTTAAATTTGACTATAATGTTCCTTGGAGTTTTTATTTTGGGATCTCTTTCCTGAGGTGATAGATGGATTCTTTCAATGTCTATTTTGCCCTCTGCTTCTAGTATATCAGGGCAATTTTCCTTGATAATTTCCTGAAAGATGCTGTCTAGGTCCTCCTTTTGATTATGGCTTTCAGGTAGTCCAATGATTCTAATATTGCCTCTCTTAGATCTATTTTCCAAATCAGTTGCTTTTCCCATGAGATATTTTACATTTTCATCTATTTTTTCCTTCTTTGAATTTGTTTGATTGATTTTTGATGTCTCATAGAGTTGTTAGCCCAATTCTGACTTTTAAGGAGTTGTTTTCCTCAATTAGCTTTTGTACTTTCTTTTCTATTTGGCTAATTATACTTTTTAAGGAGTTGTTTCTTCAGTGGATTTTTGTATCTCCTTTTCCATTTGGCCAATTCTACTTTTTAAGCAGTTGTTTATTTTTCTGAGCTGTAGATTCTTTTTTCATAATTCATTCCCATTTCTTTTCCCAGTTTTTCTTCTACCTTTCTTATATGATTTTAAGATCCTTTCTGAGCTCTTCCATGAGTTCTTTCTGGGCTTGAGACCACTTCCCATTTTTGTTTGGGCCTTTGCCCATAGGTGTTTTGACATCATTGTCCTCTTCTGAGTTTGTATCTTGATCTTTCTTGTCAACATAATAACTTTCTATGGTCAGATTCTTTTTTCTTTCTTGCTTGTCTTTTTTGGCCTTTTAGCTTTCTTTTAAATTTGACCTCTGCTCCTGGGGGTGTAAGGGGCACTGTCTCAGGTTTCTTGTGCCAGGGGCTCCAGGCGCTGGTTATTTACCTGGTGCTGCACTGATGTTGCCCTGAGACCCACAGAAGACCCTCATGTCTGGTGCTGTGCTGAGGGGTTGGGGTAGGGGGTAGTTGGTGCTGCTGGAGGCCATAGGGGTGTGTCAGCTTACCTGATGCTGAGCCAGGGTCCTAGTGCTGGTATCTGGGGTGTGCTGAGGCTGGTGGGGTGTTTCTGTGTTTCCCTGGGTATACACTGAAGCATGTAGGGCTCTAGCCACTGGAGGCTGCCTGTTTTCCCAGGGTTATGCTTAAGCATGTGGCAGTTCTCAGAGTTGGAGTCTGCCTGGTCTCCTAGCTATGCTGAGGCACATGGGGAATCCTGGTGTTGGCATTTGCCTTCTCCATAGCACTGGGGATCAGGATCTACCACTGATTTGCTGAGAAAGGGCTTGCTGCTAGCTTGCAGGCACACTTCCTGTCCCAGATTGTGCTCCCCTTTTACCCAAGTGAGACACACCTTTCCTGTGGATTTTAGAAAGTTCTTGGGCTCAAAGATTGTTTCACCCCATCTTTTTGCTGGTTTTGCTATTCCAGGATTTGTTTTGGGGTGCTATTTTATGGTTATTTAGAGTTGAATAGGAGAGAGCTA